AGTTGAGAAGAAGGGAGGTGTGAACAGTAGGGAAAGGTTTGGAAGCCATAGGACTTGGTCGTAGGTTGGGCAGGAGAGAAGGAGAGAGTGAGAGCAGATTGTTAATGGGAAACACCTAGGTTAGAGCTTGTTCCACAAAAAGGATCCTGGTTGTTATAGGAAGAGGATTTATTTTGGAGGCATTTTTTTTTGTTTGCTTTAATCACAGTAAATTTGAAGGACTTTAGTGACATAGAAATGGAGACCTACAGTTGGAATTGGATGAACCTGACGTGCTCAGAGGAGCGTTCTGGCTGAAGATGTGAGTCTGTAAATCGTTTGCATGCAGGTAATAAATGTTGCTCTGCCCTGGAATGAGATCACAGAGGGAGAGAAGGAGTGGAAAGGAGTCCTTGGCCAGAGCCTCGAGGAACTCTATCATTTAATTGCTGGGTAACAGATGATAAATCCTGCTAGAGAAACAAGGGTAACGTGCAGAGGAATATAACTGTAGAACCAGGAGAGTTAGATACCGAGAAAACACTGAGAGGGTCTTATCGACATTGTCAGATTCTGCTAAGAGATCAAGAAAGAAGAGGGTCAAAAATTCTCCTTTTCATGTAACATGATTGAGGTCACCGAACACCCTGGCAAGGGCAGGGAGGTGGGCTAATGAGGCAGGAGCCTCGTCAACCAGAAAGTGAATGGAAGGTAAAGAAATGGAGAACGGCAGGAACAGACAGCTCTTCTCAGAATTTGGACAGTAAGGGGTAGGAGAGAGAAGGAATGATGACTGGAACGGCATGTGGTTTGCTTTATTTTTAAATGGCAGATATTTATATGAGGTTGGAAGCAAATGTATAGGATCCAGTGAGGTGGGAGAAGCTGAAATATGCATATATGAGAAAGAGAAGGGGTGTGATACACAGCAGTGAATTTCAACCACTGTGCTGTGGCATGCTGATGTGCCACAAGAATTGTGGCACATACCCGACTCTTTAGGCAGGGGCACTGACCTCTTTTCCCTTAGATTATCAAATAACATGCCAACAGCCAACACAGCAATAGCCACCCGGTGTAAATGAATAAAAAAAAAGTATATATATTTTTTGTCAGATTATATATATATTTTGGTGTGCTGCAGAGTTTTAGTAACTAGTTTATGTGTGCCATGAGAAGAAAAAGGTTGAAAATCGCTAGCATGTGGTAAACTTCCTTAGAGTGAAATGATGGGAACCAATGAAAGAAAGAGTGGTTGGCCTTAACACATAGAGCCAGTCCTCCTGCTCCACCCGAAGGAAAGATTTTGGTTGTGTACAGACCTAGGTAGGCTTGTAGTCTGGTAGACAGATGTGGAGGGAATTATTGTCTGAATGTTTTTATTTTCTCTGTATATTAGTGATAAGGCCATCTTCTAGTGGGAAGATAAGGAGGTTTAAGGTTTGAGGCCAGGGGAGAAAGTTTGAAAACGTTATCATGTAAAATTGAAGGTCTAGGTAACTAAAGAAGTCGTGGTCTATTTCCAGGCAGTATTGAGGGCTGGAGTTCGCTGATCATGAATTTATGGCATCCTTCTGCCCTATGCGTTATTTCTCAGGCTGTGTTCAGCTCCTTGGGTTCAGGCACAGAGAAAGGCCATCACAGATTTCAGCCATGGTAGAGTGGAGGATGTTGGCTTTGGAAGGGCAGAGCTCAAGGATCTGAGAGCCGTGGTGTTTCATGGGCCAGTCCTAGAAAAGAAACCCCAAGTCCTAACCCTGAGGTTCATGGGTGGGGGAGTTGGAATGAATAAACAGCCACCACATGAAACTTCAAGGGAAGCAGTATACTCTGGGGAAATCTAGGTTTCAGGAAAAGCAACCACATGGGTATTTACAAAACCACAGTTGCAGAGAACAAAGTTGAAATGTATGAACTTAGACCCAGGCGAGACGTTCTGTAACATGGAGTTCCAAACTCGCAGCGCCCCACGCCATTTCTTTCACCGGACAAGAGTTGCTATGAGCCTGGCCAGAGTGGTTCAGTTGGATGAGCATTGTCCCATGCACCAGGAGGCCACCAGTTCGATTCTGGTCCGGGCACATGCCTGGGTTGGGGACTGGATCGCTGGTAGGGGCATGCAGGAGGCAGCCGATCCATGCTTCTCTCTCATCAATGTTTCTCTCTCTCTCCCTCTCCCTTCCTTTCTCTGAAAGCAGTCAAAACATTTTTAAAAAATAATGCAATTTTAAAAAGAGAGAGAGAGAAGGGAGTTGCTTTGAAGCAGGCTCCACTGTGACTGTTGTAGATGAATGCTTCAGAGATCAGTGGAGATCATATCCAGCCACACAATTAATTACTAAGTGGGGGGGGCGGTACAATTCTTATCCCAACTGCAAGTAATATGAATAGTTGGGAAGTGCTGCAGAAGAATGAATTCCTTTTTTTCATGTACAAGATTGGCAACTCGAACTATGAAAGCAGAAAGAAAAATTAATAGAATTTATCAGCTTCACCTTGATTTGCATGATTCTGCACGAGGACAATGGGAGCTCTGTGACAATGTGCATTATCATCGCTTTGGGCAAAGAGAACCTGTCCTGACTTTGCATGATGGGTAGAGAAATGCAGGAGGTTCCCTGACAAGTGTGTTTATCAGGCACATCTGCAGCGTTATTTCCTACGCTCGGTTGCATCCCCTGTCATTCCCCTCAGTGCTCATTTAACATGATGGACTTGTTTGGCAAATCCTCCAGGTGGTGGGAGGACCGGGAGAGGAGGAAGCTTACTCGGGGTCATTAAAAAAAAAGGGCACTAGCCTCTCACACACTCCAACTCTTCATTCTCCTCCCCCTCCTTGATCATCATGATTATTTGTAGGAAAGAAAATGAATGGCTGAGTGATGTGATCTTGTGAGTCTGTTGATAGCTGCTCAGAGCACCATGGAGGGAGGGCTCAGGTATAGTCATAGAATTCTCGATCAGAGAGAAAGAAGTCTGTCAAGTTCTTGAAACTGCATCTCAGGGAATTTCACTGTGTCCGACTGAATAGGGTAGTTGAGGTGCGCCTCTCCCACCCTGATGGTCAGTATCAGCCAGAAGCAGGTGGCATCATTTAGTGCAATATGCCACACACTATGCTAAGTGCTTTGTATAAATATGCTTGTATTTCCCCCAAAATAAAAGTCTGGTATTATTTTAATTTCTTTTTTATCTTTTTATTTAATTTATTTGGGTGACACTGGTTAACAAAATTATACAGGTTTCAGGTGCACACTTCCATAACACATTACCTGTATGCTGTATTGTTTGTGATCCCCACCCCAAGTCACATTTTTTCAGAATATACAGCTGAGATTCAGGGATGTTAAATGACCAGCCCACGATCACACAGCATACTAGTGACAGAGCCTGAATTCTGGGCCATATAGATCTCCAGATGCCACATTCTTTATAAGAATGCTCTAGAGTGGTACCGTCCAACAAATATAATGAGAGCCACATGTGAAATTTTTAAATTTTCTAGCTGCTACGGGAGAAGTACAAAGAAAGAGGTGAAACTAATTTTTTATTTGACCCAGCATATCCAGAATATTATCATTTTAACTTATGATGACTATTAAAAATTATTACTGAGATACTTACATTCGTTTTCCATAGTAAGTCTTTAAATCCATGTCTCTTATATTTGAGAGCAAATCTCACTTCAGACTAGCCCCATTCCCGGTGCTCCACAGCCACAACAGGCTACTGGTTACCACACGGGACATTTATGGAAACAGTGTTCTTTACCAAGGAGGGTGTGCTGAGCTGATTGCAGGCTTTGCTTTGAGATCAGTGGGAAGAGGCCTTCCTGTGTGTGCTATTGGCCTCTGTGATATAACGTTAGTGCCCTTCCCCTGCGTGGCAGCCTTCTCTTCTGAAAGTGTATGTGTGTTTTCAAAATACATCTCCACAAAATTTATGGAGTCCTTAGTATTATGTGATACAGAGGGGGAGTTTGGGGGTGGGGGTGGGGGGAGACTATTGCTAAGATTAAGATAGACATAGATTTGTGTCCCTCTACTATCTGTTTTAACGGGGGCCGTAATTTTACCAATTTGTCTCTTTGTCTATTATAAAATTTGTGAGGGGGCAAAATGAAATGATGCAGTTAATATAATACCTGGGAAGTAGGAAGTGATGAATGTGTTAGCCATTATTGCAAAGTCATTGTATACTTATTACTGCAGATTGGTATTAACTAGTTCCTAACCATGAATACAAGGGCAGAGTATAGACTATATGGAAGTTACAATTTTATTTTATTTTACAAATAGCCTACGTCTATATGTGACAGGTAACTTTATACATTACTTAAATTTTAGTCAGCTATTCTCATTTGGAGAACTCAGTAACTTTCCCTCTTCCTATAGATGTATTATATTGAGATCTATGTTGAAGGCCCTTAGATAGTGGTTATCTCCAAATTTCTGCCACACTTACCTTCAGGTTTACCATTTGATAGTTAGAAAGGGGAGCTTTTTAATATCTTCATATAATTGTTATAAGATTATGAGTAATTTTTCTGCTTTTAACTTTTTTAGGGGTATGTAAATAAAATTATCATTATCAGAATATAAGCATGGTATAAACTAAGAGTAATTTTTTTACACATTTCCCTTTTTAAAAGTTATCTTATAAATTGCCATCATAGAAAATATTTGGTTCAGCAGCTTGTATTGGTCAATTTCAGTATACCAGCCTTGTATGTGTCCAGCACCAGGGTCCTAACAAAGTATTCCCATCCTGTCTATGATACTAATAAAGAGCAGTCAGCCATGGTGATCTAACCATATAAGCTCATTGAAGTCACACATAAATGTCTACACATGTTGTTTTTAAAATTGAAGGAACAGGTGGTTATTTGTCATTGATGGACAAGTTCCTCCATCTCCGTAATTTGCCTTCTGTCTCAATCACTGGTCTGTGGAAGACTTAAGATATATCCATTTACTTTTCTCCCTGAACTAACTTATTTTTATCTACTGATTCTCGTGCAGAGGTTACTACATAATAATTGTGCCTTTGAAGAAATCTCGTGGGAAATTTATCAAGCCATGGGAGAGTCCAGATGAAATGGAATTAGATGAGGTAAGTGTGTCTTTGTTGGCAGTGTCTTTCACTGGTTCTTTAATTTATTAAACATTCTCCTCCTCTCTACAGAGTCCTTTCAGCATCCAATCCAGTTGCTGACTTCTGCATGGCTGGTCAGCTGGCTGTTCTGATAGTTCAGTGCTATGGGTGTGTTAACCTCTAGGGATCACAACAAAGAGCCTTTTGCTTTAATTAAAAAACATTAAGCTGCAATAAAGCTTACAACCTGTCTAATCTTCATTGGCTTTAGTATTTTGCCCCTTGCCCTTTGTAAAACATGATGCAGAGGTGTAAAAGGTGAGTGAATTGTCAGCAAAGGCTTCATCACCAATGTTATGAATTCCAAATCCCCCTTCATTAATGCAATGGTAGCTGCAGCTGTTACAAAAATGTTAAATTGCATTTTTCAGCAGAATTCAACATTTGACCCACTATAGATCCTTGACCAGTTTCTCACAGAATTGTGCTGATTAGCATATGGTTGCCTTGTTCTGTATTCTGTAGGATATCAGAATCAAAATCACACTTAACCACAGGGGCAGGCAACAACAGAAATCACAAAATTTTGATCCAAGGAAGAAAATAGTGCTAAAAATAGAGCAGATATTAAATGAGTATTATTTTAATTTCCGAAATCATACCACAAGAGTGAGTACATTTTAATTTATACTCCTTTTGCAGGAAGAACATTTGGTTGTTGTTTTTTAAGTTAGTATGAAGTTGTCCACAATACCTAATTATTATATACCTCTAGTGAGATGAAAAGGCTGTGCTCAGAAGTATTAAGCCAGATTCCCTGGAAGGCCACAGCAAGTTAATGGTTGGGGTTCAGATTTGAAATCTAAAAGAGACTTTGCTATTTTCATGTGACGCTGGTTTGAATCAGTTCAGAAGGCAAGTAAAAAGGCTCCCATTTGGGGAAATTGGAGATTTTAATTTATTGAGATTACTTACAACATTGGCCCTATATTATCACCCAACCTGTAATTTCTAGGTATTTTCCTACCTCAAATTAGTTCAAGCAAGGAAAAGCAGAAATTCCCTAGCTGCATTCCAGGCGAGTGATGTTTATTTCATACATGTCTGCACTAAGGAGGCAGTGATCTGACAGGTGAGGGCTGGTAGCTGCTTTAGGCAGACATATGTCATCTCTAGAAGTGGGTTCATCATCATCCACTTCATGTATCTGAGTTAAACTCAAGTGGAGAAGGGGAGATGAGTTCAAGGTTAGGATTATGCTTTTGTGTCACTGTTTAGTGATTAGATGAGCATTGGAGGAGTATAAATTGAGACATCATTTGAATAATGTTATCAAGTAATTTGTTATAAATCTTATTTTTTTCTGTTGATAATAAAGGAACAAATCATTTTCCCATGATGTTAGAGGAATAGTTATCCTTCGTCTGAATGTGGAAAATGGTCAGCTGGTCTTCTGTCAACATTTTGAATCAGTTAATCCTGAGATATTCTTTATTATTTTTATCAATTCTCAGCTGAATTATAAAATTCAGTTGGATTTGGATTTAAAATGCAAAGACGATTTATAGAATCTTTGAGTCTTTCTACTTATTTTTAAGTTTTCAAGGAATTAAGATCCAGGCCAACAAGGACATCAAATACTTTTAATTTTTTATTTTTCAAAATGTATTGGGGGGGGGTGACATTGGTTAATGGGAACGTATAGGTTTCAAGTCTGAATTTCTATAATACATTATCTGTATGTTATAAATAATAAGATTTCCTTATAGATGGAGCCATTGGGTGATAAGTCATATGAAGCTGATTCTCTTTTACGGCCAGGTTCCAACCTCCAGAATGCACAGCAATGCTAATAGATTGAAGTATAGCGCTATATGACATTGCACTTCCTTGCAATTAAGCTCTATGGGTCTGTGCTGCTGATTCCCATAACAAAGGGTCATTTTAATCATCCCACACATTGTGGTACATTAATCTATATAATAGTTTGATAAAGAACATTTATTAATTCAAAATGTGGGAGTCAGGATGGGTTGTTACCCACTTTTCTTACTGATATAATTGAGACCACATTGTAGAATTAATGGTGGAAGAAATAAGATATGCATTGACTGGAAAATGAAAATTATTTCTGATTAAAAAAACCACCAAAGCCCTTGATATATCTTCCAGAATTACCTCCAATACATCTTGTAACTACCGTGGAGGGGAGCGAATGAAAGCAGGCTGCAACCTCCTCTATGCTTACTCATTCTGTTTCTGATCCCTGCAGAAAGTTTTTCATTTCTTTTTTTTTTTCCTACCATGGATGATAAAAGCATTGTAGTAATTTTATCTATATCTTGGTATTGCCAGGTTTGACAAAGCAGTATTCCTCTCTTAAATGTATTTGACTAAGTGATTTTCTTAGAACAGTGTATAATTCAAATTGTTCAAACAATCAATATTAATAACTAGAATGGTGGCCTAAGGGGAGTTCCAATGTATGCCTCACATCTAGGCCCATAAAAAAAACAAAAAGAAGCTTTCTAAACAGATTTACTCTAAATGTTATTTTTTTTGAGAACATGTATCCTTTGTTTGGGGACAATTTCCTCATAATAAATTTATAGAGTTGGAACTGCTATTGTCAAAGTCAGACTGGGCAGAGTAGAAATTGATAGTCAAAATGGACTTGGGGCAGAATGAGTCCTAAAATGTCAGTTACATTTCATTCAGGGCAGGTCTTGGAATATATCATAAGCTTTTCATCGCATTGTACTTTAAAAGCTTCCTGTAAAATAATGGGGTTATTTGTGGTTTTAAATCCAGCATACTCCTACTGGCTAACTCCAGTGCCATCTGAGCATACATGACTCATTTAAAGTATAACACGGGAAGCATCCTGCAGAGATTAGAGCAACCTGCAGGGACAGAGTTAATTTTTCCAGGTTTGACCTTAATGAATGCCCACATTGGCTCTAAAGAGCACCAAACGCACACACTTTTTTTCCTAACATACCTCCTCAAAATCTTCTAAAGAAACCCTAGCAAAAGGTATTCATGGGGATGACAGTGATATGGATGAATGATGACAGTTGCCTACATCTGAAATATAAAGAAAATCAAGGTAGGGTTTGATCAGTGAAGTAGAAGAAGGGAGCAGTTACATAAACAACTGATGGTAAATGTTTCTGATTAACCAACTTCAAAAAGCTGTTCAGCTCATCTGCAGTGCATTTGTCCTTCTCCATGTCATGGACCATCATTTACTGCCTATCAACAGTAACCTTTGCAATGACTTTTCAAGTGTAGCATTAAATATATGGTCTCGGGATTTTTAAAAATAACATGTAAAAAGAATCCAGGAAAAAGAAATCTAAATACACACTAACATGTGATAATGAAAGCAGATGTACAATATTTATATTTGTCTAAATACAGACTGAGTTAAAACAATTTAGATGACCAATTTACCTTAATTGTTGGGTTTGTTTCCTTGATGTTGTGCAACTAATAAGTAAACAAAAGTATGGTTGAAAAATCTCTTACATGTAATTTCATTTTATTCCACCAATTGAGTCCAATTATATATTGCCACTTCCTATTATGCCTCAGTTACCTCATTTAGCAAATGGGGACGATACTAGCCTAAATTATAGGCTATTATGAGGAGTAAATGAAGTAATACAACATGTTTAGGCTCCAAAAATAGTGCCTAGTAAGTGCTTAATAAATATTAGCTGTTGTCATTTTCATCATCCTTAGGAGTAAATCTAAATTTGACAACAGAATTGAAAGATACTACTAGGTTTCTGGCCTTGATTTACTATAACCCAGATGGTGCATAATTGATAAGTAGACCTGAATTTATCATCAGATGGTCCAAATTTGCTAAACAGATTATGCCCAATCTAATATGGTTTTCATAAAATAGCCTATATTTCATGTAATTCTAATTATATCAATAAACTCAGATTTCCCAGAAAATGTGAGAATATTGTAAGTGAAAAGTTATTCAAAAATAACAGCACAAATTATATAACCAAAAGACTTTTTCACACTTCTTTAGGTTATCATTTTAAACCAGCAGAGCACATTTAAAATTCTGTGTAGAAGAGACTATAGTTTACTACCAGTTCCTGACATAAAGCTTTGGTGTTTGTCATATGTACCACCTGCAGCCATTACTATCATGGAAGTCTGGTCTTGCTGAAGATATCACTAGTTTGGTTTTTACTATTATTGTTTCTACTAGAGGCCCAATGCACAAAATTTGTGCAAGAGTAGGCCTTCCTTCCCCTGGCTTCCCTTGCAGCTCCTGCTTTGTCCTGAAGGACATCCGGTCTAATTAGCATATTACCCTTTTATTATTATAGAATAGACTTTCAAAAACAGGAGTAGACAGTAATTTTGTCATTAAGTTTTCATAAGTACCTAAATTAAAGAGCAAATCAAGCTGGAAATTGTTAAATAAATAACAATATCTATTTATTATTGTCAGTTAAAAATCAGGCATCAGATTTTATTCCTGCAGATTTGAGGGAATTTGCATCCTATAAATGATCTCACTATTAAAAACAATCTGAAATGGCACTAATCTCTCCAAAAAAATTAGTAATAATTGAAAGTTTAGGTGGCTTTATCTGAGTTTAGTACTTGTTTAATAAGTAACAATACAGCCCAAATTGATAAGCTTTTATGACTCAAGCTGGCTTTTTCTTTAGACAAGTTCTAATGCACTCTTGCGTTTTGAAAAGATTTCACTGGGGCGGACAATGATAGGAGCCACCACTAAAGGACCTAATTGTCCTGTGTCTGTTGCCAGGGCCTTGCCATAGCAGTCCAGTTTCTTACCTTGACAGCAAGACACACATTTGCGCTGAGAGAACTGAGGTTCTAGGGATGCTGATGTGCTTCGTGAAGAGTGAACAAGTGAGCCCTGACCGGTTTGGCTCAGTGGATAGATCGTAACTTCTCCCATGAAGTGTGAACAAGTGGCCCTTGGGCTGTTCCCAGTCCTGAGCTAACTTCTCCCATGAAACTATCATCAAGTTGGGTTATTATTGTTTACATTTCTTTCTCTATTTCCCACTTTTTTTTAGCTGCTTAAAGAGATATCCAGGAAACGCAGAAGCCTCCGTTACGGAAGAGAAGTTGAATTAAAGCCATATATAGCCGCTCACTTCGATGTCCTTCCCACGGAGTTCACCCTGGGAGATGACAAACATTATGGAGGATTTACAAACAAGCAACTCCAAAGTGGTCAAGAATATGTCTTCTTTGTGTTAGCAGTGATGGAACACGCAGAGTCTGTAAGTTAACTGTGTTGGCATCTACAGGGTGTTCCCCAAAAATGTATACTCACTTTGAATGATTACCAAGTCAGGGTTTATTAACATACAGTTCATTTTCAAAATTTAGATGAATCTCCAGAAATGAACAATTTTATTTTTATTTTTTTTGGTCAATGCCTGTTTTCAAACTGATGACCATTCTGGTCCAGGCACTGCTGGTAATGTGAAGCAATGGAATCATAAACATTAAGAATCATTTCATTTGGTATTTGTGTGTCCTCTGTTCGTCGACTGTTGCCGATTTTGTACTGTACACTTTATCTTTTATGTATTACAATTAAAAAATATCTATTGGCAGTTTAGGATGAATTTTCTTTGTTCAGAGCTTAGTCTGGCTTCACTCATTATTTCAAATCAGTTAAGCCTGAAAAGGAATCAACGTTAAGTGAATTATCTGTGTTCAAGTGTGTATACATTTTTGGGGGGATACCATCTATTTCCTATGGAATTCTATACATTTTCTTTTTTTTTTTTTTTTAAATATATTTTATTGATTTTTTTTTTTACAGAGAGGAAGGGAGAGAGATAGAGAGTCAGAAACATTGATGAGAGAGAAACATCGATCAGCTGCCTCCTGCACACCTCCTACTGGGGATGTGCCCGCAACCCAGGTACATGCCCTTGACCGGAATCGAACCTGGGACCTTTCAGTCCGCAGACCGACGCTCTATCCACTGAGCCAAACCGGTTCTGGCATGGAATTCTATACATTTTCGCCAGAACCTGGTTATTCGGGGATGGGTAGGTACTAGTATATACATCCTAATTATTTCCATGAGCTGCTGTTAACACGGTAACAGCAGCCTGCTGTAGGAACACTGCTGGGTCATCTGCTTGAGCTTTCCTTACAAACAGGGCCGTGTCTCTAGCAGGGAGCTTCGGGGACTTCTAATCTATGAAGTGCCAGATGGTTCGGGCATGGCTCCCGAGACCTTTCCATGGGACACATGTATTGACAGGAGGGTGACAGCCCTTCGTCCTCACATGTCCTTCCTCATCCTTTAAAAATGGCTGTTATTTTAACACTCCGGTGTGGGGTGAATTTCCCGCCAAAATATAAGATGGCTCTGTCTTTTGGTTTTGTTCCATCCACCAAAAGGGTGGATTACAAACAAATATTTGGTAATACGCAGTTACAATCGGCCCGAGTTTACACGTTTCCCGCACTCCACCGCAAATCTATATGAACCGAGTTAAAGACGGCTCCCGCGGAGTACGCGCAATTCACGCGAGCCGACTTAACTCGTTTCCCCCACTCCAAGTGTTAAGAAAATCTGGTATAATACCTAGTAGACATCAGCCTGTATGATTACAGTAGGAGCAAGCTCTGCAGTTACACATGGGATATTTGCAGGTATCTGAACCTATTAGCAGGGGGTGATTGTATTTCCTCTCCTATGACTGCCAGCGAGCCCACAGCACTCTCTATCCCGATTCATAGGGAAGCTCGGTCTAGGGAAAGGCAGGCCCAGCCAGCTTCTTTCACTGTGGCAGTTTACCAGTGACTTTATCAGAGAAGAGCCCCAAAGTTAGAAAATAAGTCAATAAAACTGAGAATTCGAATGTACTCTAAATAATGAGTTGTCTTCTTTTATGTAATTCATCTTGCTCTTATGTCATTGTATGCTTCAGTTGCTTTGAATGTTAAATAGCGAGAAAGAGGAGATGGGAAGGGGGTGGCTCTTGAAGTGGCAGTTCACATTTAATATACTTATTCTAAACTGTGTCTTGCTAATAAATGAGGGCCTAAAACTGACAGGTGCGGCAACTCCGTTGAGCCAGTCACTACTGTATAAGATGCCTGAGATTGCTCCACATCAGGTGTGAGCATGCGCAGCAGGGCTTCTCTTCAAATGACTGAAGGGTTCCCCCCGTGGAAAATCAAAACACAAAGGCAGCCTTTCTGTCTGGTTTACCTTTGTGCACAGAATGTCATTTGAAAACAAAGCAATGGGCTTCCTGGAATTTTAATGCACGGCTATGCTTCCTCTTTCTAGTTGAAGGTTCCAAGGCAAAACATCAAGGGAACGGAATGTTGGAAATCACCTTTTCAATTTTTTAAAAAGGACTCTTAGATATTTGAAAGTAATTTTCTTTAAATAGCTCTAGGATGTTTCAGAAAGCAAATTCAGACCATTGAGGTAGATCAGAGAATCCAGCAAAGAGGAGAAATCTCATGAGATCATTAAGCCGTTAGTACCACAGTCAGAGCTCTGATTTCCAGTGTCTCCCAGACGTTTTTACTAGTGTTCAAATGCATCACCATTGATGAAGCGTCTGCACCTTCCTGTCTGCGTCAACACACTGTTTCATTCATTATGTAATTAGCAGTTTTCCCAAATACGTTATCTGAATTGTCCCTTTTCTTCTTCATCTTTCTCAGTGGTGCTCTCAAAGCTAACAGCATGGCTTTTATGTTTCATATATGTTTTAAGGCTAGCCTTTACTTAATAGAAGAGACTCGTATTCAGCATGTAATGTTAGGAGTGATACCGTCCTTTTGTAAGCCTCTAATTTTAGGAATGATTGTTAATCCACCTAATCACGACCAAGGGTGGACTGATAATTTGCATAGAGAAAATGTCCCCCTTCAACAAGACAGAAACTCTACCTCAATCCATTGATTTATATCAAGATCATAGGAGGATGGGTGCAAAATGACCACAGGTTTGGTCTTTTCTGGTACCCCCACACACTGAACAAATTCTGCCTTTCACAAGGCTGGTGTCATTATATGGTTTTGTTTTCCTTTGACTTTACACATCACTGGTTCCTGAGCTATGTGCTTTGGGAAAACCTCTGCTTAGATTTCCATCTTGGCTCACCAAGATTATTATCTCAAAGGCTCTTGGTAAAGAATTTCAAGTCAGAGAGTTCTCTTAGCTTTGTCTGCCCAACAGTTTGAATCTGACCAACAAATGGAGAGGGGAAAGTGTGAACCAAAACAATTATACGCATGTGAAGAATCATGCTTCTTGGATATTTAGTGTATTTGTCAAGTCCTTTGTGTAAATCTTTACGCTGTACATATCTTTTTCTTACCTGCTTCTGAGAAGATTGTAAATATACTGAGTAGTTGTCTTTTTTGATGCATTAGAAATCTCCTAGTCCCGTTGATGTCTTTTCTGAGCACAATGAGGAGAATGTGAAGGGAAACTAGTTAACAAACACGTATTGGCATGTGGGAACCCGGCTGGACTCCTCAACTTATCGCACTTAAACTGAGAATTGATGTCTTTAACCAAATTTTTAAAATGCATCTTAAAAATTTAAATATATTTACTGATCCTGGAATAAATGAGCATATTATTTTATACCTTGATAATGACAGCCATTTGGACAGGTGAACATTTTATTTTAGTCAACAAGGATTTGTTGGGAACTCACCATTGCAAAGTTGTGAGCTAGCTACACAAATAGTATGTAAATCCCTGTCTTTCAGAAATTTATAGTTTCACTAAAGAAAAGAAGACATATGCACAGATAAAAAAAATAAATGCCATTAAAAAGGACTGGCAAAAATTTTAAAAATTATTTCCTACAATTGTGGAATAATTGGTTATTTTCAGTTAAGGAAAGTTAGCTTCATGGAAGGCAGTATTTAAGTAGAGCCTTGAAAATTAGTTTGACTTCGGAGCTAAATGTTGTGGAACCTGTGAGAGGGTTAAAGAGAGAGAGTAGAGCATGTGGGGAGTCGTAACAAGAAGTTCGCTGTGATGGAATATGTTGTATGTGGTAAGGAAGTTTAAAACAAATTGTGCAGTCTCCTTAAGGACCATGCTAAGATGTCTAGATTTTATTCAGGAATCGCCTGAGAGCCTCCTAAAGGTTTCATAGCTGTGGTTTAGGAGAATTACCCTAATGGCAGTAGAGACTGTTAAAGGAAGGAAGAAAGTCTTGGTATGATTTGAATGAGTAAGAATGAGGTCGTGAAGAAAAGTGGTACTCATGAGACTGGAAAGAAAGTGGATGGACTTGATCCATAGATCATATAAAATCAGCCGTGTTTCATTCCTAGCTATTGAGAGGGTGAGAGAAAAAGGCAGGTCAGAAGGAGCGTATGCCTGGGAAGTAGGGAAGTAACACACATGCAATTCTTAACTTGGGGATTCATTTAGGAATCTCTAGAAACAATTGGAAATGAAGGTCTGGAACTCAGCAGAGATTCCAAGTTTAGGAACATTAGTGAGAAAGTAATCTGCGTAGAGGTTCGTATTTAAGGCTGGGGATGACCTGGCCAGCTAAGGGAGAGGAAGAGAGACTAGCAGAAAATAAAATGTAAGAATGCTGGCATGGGATGGATGCAGAGGAATTAACTCAGTTGGCAAGGTTAGGAAGGGACTAGGTGAGTACAGAATGAAGAGAACCAGAGGAGGGAGTTTTAAAGAAGGCTTGATCAACTGTAGCACATCTGGAAAAGATGTCTGGAAGGGTAAGACATGAATAATGACAATTTGATTTGGCAAATAATTGACTCGGACCAATGATGGAGTGAGAAGAGATGAGAAGCGAGTGGTAGGAGAGAAGGGGCAGCCGTTTAGACATGGGTCTCTATTGGAAAAGGAAAAGATAAGGCTTTAAAAGGGGCAGAGTTAAGAGAATAATTTTAATATAGGCTAAAGTAGGGCAGAAAAATATTATAAAAGCTAAATTCATAGACAGTCCTTTCACTGAGTAACTATTTTTTTTTCAAATTCATTAAGGAAAAATTAACATATATAATTATGTATATGCTTAAAATGTACAAAATGATGATTCGATATCCACATACATTGTGGGGTGGTTACCAAGATCAAGATAATTAGCACATCTATACATCTATCATCTCACATAGTATCTTTTCTTTTGAATGGGGTGAGAATGCTTAAGATCTACTCTCAACAAATTTCAAGCATATAATACTGTATTATTAGCTATAGTTACCAGGCAGTACATAGATCCTAGAACTTATTCTTCTTATCACTGAAGGTTTGTGCCCTGTGACCTACATCTCCCCATTTCCTCCCACCAGCCTTTGGCAATCACCATTCTATTCGCTGCCCTTGGAATGACTTATCCATGCTGTTGCAAATGGCAGGTTTTCCTTTTTTGTGGCTGCATACTATTTCAATGTACATGCATGTGTGTGTGTGTGTGTGTGTGTGTGTGTATACAGATATTTTTTTTTCGTTCAGCCATCGAAGGGCACTTCGGCTGTTTCCATATCTTAGATATTGTGAATAATGCTGCAGTGAACACAGGTGTGCAGGTACTTTTTTGAGATGGTGATTTCATTTCGCTTGAATATATACCCAGGAGTGGGATTGCTGGATTGTGTGATAGTTCTATTTTCAATGTGTTGAGGAGCCAGCATACTATTTTTTTTATAAGGGCTGTACCAATTTCCATTCCCCCCCCCCCAGCACTGTATAAGGGTTCCTTTTCTTCTATATCAGTTGGGAACAATCACAGTCGCTGTAATAAAATTGAATGGGAACTGCTAAATCCTTTTAAGTTATAAAAATTCTATGTTCTGGGAAGCCATAGCATCAGTTTCATACATCTTGCATCTATAATTTGGACATTGGACCTCACTTCTGAAGTTGTAGACTTTGTCCATTATCCGGCCTCTATTTCCTAACTAATATACATTAAGTATTAAGGATGACTTACATAATTTAACATTTAATTAAATAGTAATATTTTGCTCTATAAATGTTTAGTTTATAAATGTGGTCTCCTTAACTGAGGGGTAATGTCTTGAGAGCTGGAGTTAATTATTCCTGTTGATTTTCACATAGCATGGAACACGTTGGCACACTGGTTAATTACTAGTACCATACTTCATAAATCACTTAATATGCCATAGATAGACCCCAATGAAAAAGTATATCTGGAGTAATTTATACTATCTAAAATGATTTTATGATAAAATACTTCACCATAGAAGGAAATTTAAATTGCCAAGCCTCTTTCCTCCCCCTCTTTCCTCCCCTTTTCCTCTCCCCTCTCCTCCTCTTTATTTACTAACATTGTTTCACACACTATCAAATCCACTATCTCAAATTTTTGCCTCTTTTAATGCAAAAGATATACACCAGAAAGACATTAGCTCATAACTAACATAGACTCTGTTTTTCCTCAGAAGATGTATGCAACCAGTCCCTACTCCGACCCTGTTGTGTCAATGGATCTGGATCCACAGCCAATCACCGATGAAGAAGAAGGCTTAATCTGGGTCGTAGGCCCTGTCCTTGCGGTGGTCTTTATCATCTGCATCGTTATAGCTATTCTTCTTTATAAAAGGTAGGTTTGCCCAATATTTCTATTGTGATCTTGAGGGCTCTCTTATATTTGAAGACTTAATAATCCTTCTGCGGTCACTATGTGGTTGATTTTAGTAGAAATACTTCACTGTAGCTCCACGAATCATTGGAATGTGGTTGCATTAGAGCTAGAACAAAATGTGAAAACTATACTATTTTTAATTCCATTCAGTGTGTGTGGTATAGACTGTGTTGCCCAGCATGCCCGAATCCTAGCCTCTGTCTCCTGAGTATTTTATGTAGTATGAGCACTTTGCGTGATATTTGAGACACTAGTACATTCAAAGGTAGATGATTACACACAAGCTTGCATTTGATTGTTTTAAATGATTAATTGCTCAATTTCAGCATGGTTCTTGAAACTACAAATGTGCACATTTGTGTCCATTTCATAACTGAAATTGCACATGTGCTGAGATTTTTTCCTGTAGCTATTTCTCAAAACTTAGCCAAGGAGCAAACATTTGAAGATTAGAGACGGCAAATAACCTTTTTCCTTCCTGCTTTTCTTCTAACCCTTATTCCACATTTTCAATACTGAATTCTCATTTGTGCCCAAAGAGGAATGGGAAGTACCATTTTCTTTTTATAAAAATAACCTCAGTTTTATACTCCCAAATATCAGTCTGAGTTAGTGTCTCTGATTACAACTAGGATACAAACAGTTCACATCTACCCCATGTTTTTTGATTATCCACTCTTTTTAAATTTTATTTTAGCCTTTATTACATAGAAGCAAGATGTTTCTCCCTAGATCGCTGCTTATTCATAAGGAAGAATATTAATAATTCTACCTCTAAATACTTGTAGACTTAAAAATAGAATTGCAAAATTATAAGTATGTAAAATTATAAAAATTAACATATGTAATACATTAACTTAAACATTTAGAATGACTAAATTCTGAATTATCTGCCTTTATATCAACTTTTCTTCCAATTTAAGTTTATTTCATGAAACTTTGTGTTCCCATTTTCCTTTGTAGTGTGTCATCTTTCAGAATACTCTGACGATCTCGCCTCTATCATTCCCTCTCTTTTTTCCTCTCCCTCCCCATTGCCCTCCTTCCCTGCCTTTCTCTCTCCTCACAACCTTGACCTTCAAGATCAGATGAGAGTTTCTTCATCATCATTCTTGCTTACATGCTTAATCTGATCATCTTATTTCCAGTATTTCTTTTTCCTATCCATATAGTTCCCTTCATTAATTACCTCTTTTACATTAATTACCTCTTTACAAAAATTCCTTTTGTAAATATGTTCTTGGAATAGCTTTTATTTTACTTTGTATAGCTTCTTCTCTTGACTCAAGAGTATATCCTTCCAGACACTTCTCTAAAAAACTTTCTCTTATGAAGCAGCATTCCATTTTATTTCAGTGTGAAGAGAGGGCTAAGGAAATAAAAAGACAAATTAAAGAAAGGAGTTCATAACCATAACAGATTAAATTGCATATCCTATTTTAGAGCTGGAAAGAATGAAAGAGATACCCATCATGATTTTCCCCTGGTCGCTGTGGTCACTCAGTTATCCATGTCATAAAATAGCAAGTGATTGAAGGCCAAAATCTCCTCTTAGTTGATGGTTTCAGCCTTCTCATCCCAATTTGTGTCTTATCAGTGTGCATTGTATTGAGTCGCCTCTGTCTTGTACAAGAGGTAAGAGCAGGAAACAGGAGATAACCACATGCTCCAGAGCAGTCACAGATGGGTGAATGCAAGCAGGAGCCGGTAGTCTTTGCTGTTCATGTGCTGCACTTAGTACCCAAAGAGAATAGAATAATTAAAAGCAAGAGTAAATTGTAATTGTTTTCCGTGAAATATTTATTCAGGTTACCACATCCTACCGTGGGAGTCAGATCAGAAAACATGCGCTTGCTGGCAGTTGCATTTCTAGACCCTATCACATGACATTTTGTGATTCTGCAAAATGGACAAAATGCTTGTCTTATTTTTTAAAATTGTGTTTCATGCGTTTATATCTGACTATCCTTAAATCAGGTCACTGAACAGAGGTGTGCAAGACATCTACGAGTTGGTTATGTAAATGTGAAGACAGGATTTTAACCTTGATAATTGCTAACATTTGTAATTAAGTTTTTCATTCTTCCTTTGATGTGCTTGGAAAAAGTCAACTCAGTGACAGTTTTTCCTAGTCCTGCAAAAAAGGCCTCAAATGTAAAGGTTTTATGACTCAGATAAAATAGAGTCGCATTTTAGTGTGTGCATGTGTGAGCATCGTCTAATGCAATTGTTGGAGGCTGCACACATCCTCGAATGCTAAGTATATTTAGCTAACCATCTGAAGGCCCGTGAAGCGTTTCTGAAATAGAAATGCTTGCTTCAGCAGTAAAGCACATTCCTGACTTGAAATTCAAATAGACCCAACAATGTCCTTCTTGATTATCGTGAGGCAGTTCAAGAGGAAATCTTCTGTAGGCAATGAATGGCGTCTTTTATAGCTTGGATTCTGAGCAAAGTTAATTATGTAATAAATACTTCGTCCTTTCAGTTTATACATAGGTTGTTGAATTGACTTTGTTTTTAACCTAGTAATTTGTAAACCTATAATACAGTGATAACCAGTGACAAAACAGTATCACACAGGTTTTGTAAGGGCTCTAAAATGCCTTCCGAATCATCAGAAAATGAAAATATGTTTGTCAGGTCTTTAGTGTTAGAAATTACATTGCACTATGTTTTTTTTGGAATGTTATTCTCTATGTGACATGTACATTGCTTTTAAAATGTAAACTACAGACATGAGATGGTAGCAAGGGTTAGAAAAACACTCACCTAGGAATCAATAAAACTGAGTTCAAGTCCCAGCTCGGTGACCAGCTAGCTGTATGGGGTAGAAAGTCATGCCAACACTCTGGGTCTCCGTTTCCGCATTTATAAAACAAGTAGGTAGGCTAGATAATTAAACGTTTTAAATAACAATGTTCTATGATGAGAAAACACCAATTAATAAGATATGTACTATAATATTTCTATACCCAGGGTTTGTCTACCTGCCTCCCTCTTGCCCTCTCCTCTCTACCAGTTCCAGCTGTTTAGGGTCCCCATTTCTATGCTCTTCCAGCACTTTCTACTTATCTATATTGTAGAATCTACCACATTATTGCAATTGCCCCCCCCCCCTTTTTTAGCTTTCTTGTCCCTCATAGTGTAGGTTAAGGACTCTATCTGATCCTTTGTGCTGAGCTGGTGCATGGCACACGGGGGTACGGAATGATCAGATTTATACAAGCCAAAGAGCCTTAAACAAACTCAGTTCCCTCACTTGTTTACTCCATCCCTCAATATATCACCATTATCTTAGCTGGCAAGAGCTGTAATAAAACCCTAACCTATAATTTAAATATACTGGTTTCAAAAGCCTTCAAATGTCTACATTTTACCAAGTGTGTAACCATATGTGGTGAGGCTGACATTTCTATGGAAGAGGAAGTGAATGGAACACTACGTGTTCATGTAAATATCAACAGCCTTTTAATACACAGAACTGATGGTTCACTAAGTGGCTCTCTTCCATTCGGAGGGATAGATTTTCCTGCAACTGATGACCTCATTGATTAAAAAATGAGCAAGTTAGAGACATATTTGTAGGATTTGTTAAAACCTGGCACTGCCAGGTAAATCACTTTAAAATTAAGAAAAGAATTAACCAGTATGTTTGATATCATCCTCATTATTCTCTTTATATGTGTTTTGTAATATTTAAATGTGGCTTTTGTATTTTTGAGAATATATCGACTAAGGTATCCTAAAAGCCAGATATTCTAACAACATGAGTGTATATTTTGTTGGCATTAAGGAAGATTCGGTTCCTTTATTTTTATAATTGAGAACTTACTTCATACTTGCAATTTGCCTCGACATGAAGAGTGTTCCGATTACTTCTTTACAGGTAAAGGATATACTCTCTTCAGAAAGAACACAGTTATTTAAATAGTCTACGTATTATCACAGGTGAACGTGTCTGTGAGCATGAGCTCAGTGTGTGCACAGACAGCAGCGCCTCTTTGAAAATACCTGTCATGTCAATGGATGGTATTAAATACGTTTCTGGATTAGCCCAGCTACACAGATGGGCCATCTCCGTAGATTTATAATGATGAGTATTACTTTTTCCAAAACTAAATGTATTTAGTCTTTTATTGGAAAAGAGATGTATGATCACCTGACTTGTCAAAAGGTATTTGAAGAAATTTCTGCCACTGCATTACCTCATGAGGTATCATGCAGTTGTGAAAATTTTTGTGCAGTCCAATGCAACTTGCAAGTATTTTTAGATCATTAAGGGAATAACCTACCTCTTAACTGAGAACTCTTTATTTTAAATGAACACGTTTCTTATATGGAATAATGTGGTATTCCCAGTAAGTGCATTAATAGTTTTTCATGGTGTGTTATAGAAAAATCAAATTATATCTCTACCATCAAAGACTTCTGGGAATATAATTAATCATGGCAGTATTTTGTAAATGGATGGATAAAAGCGAATATAACATTAACACACTAAATGCTTTATTTAGTGATGTACTCTCGTGTCCTCCATTTACTTTATGATTAGAGGCCTTTAAATACTTTGATATGCTGTCATTTGCTAATGTGTGTAACTTATGTGTCCCCACCTGTGAGCATTGTTAAACCTTGGTTGTCATGGTTACTCTTATTACCATTGGCCAACTAACATTTAGCCTTTCTTTTTCCTTTCCTTTTTTATTTTTTATTTTTTGCTGCATTAAAATGGAGCAGTAAACCTGACAGGTGAGGAATAGAGAATAAACCCCTTTCATGCTCAGTAAGAAAAAAAAAACACAAGATATGGGTAGACTTTGCAGGTATTGAGGGGGTGAGGGTGGAGGTTGGCTATAAAGATGATACCTGGCAAATAGAAGATGGATAAAGCCTACATATATATAAAGTAAATTGACATTAAAATGATTCTGGGAGAAAAAGATTGTCTGCATAAGAAGATAAGACATGTTATCTTTATGTAAAGCTAAATTTAGAAGGCATTAAAACCACTCTCTGAGTTTTGTTTGTTGTTAAGGTGAAGTGAACATTTTTATGTGTTAGTGTGTCTGCACAAGAGAAATGTGAGGTGTCCCTTAAGTAGTTTTGTTTTTTGTTTTGTTTTGTTTTGAAGGTCAGTTTTTAAGTTTGATCTTTGATCACCTCTCAATACAGAAATACTAGCTTGTTCAACGCTCCAAATATTTATTATAATGTCTTAATGAAAACCCTTATGTAATTCCTAATTATTTTCCACGTCTTCCAGCCTTGAATAATAATAGTAATCATAGCAATAATAACAGTATCTGTACTGTTTGATTATTGACTGATTGGTTTAATCTAACCTCTTAGCTTTCTAATTCATATCTATCTATATATCCATATCAATAAGTAAATATACCTGATTAAATTTAAACTGAGAAAAGTGCTCATCTAACTTGCCTTCTTTCCAATGTTATATTTCTGTGATTCTCAGGAGTGGTCCTTGGATCAGTAGCAGCAGCATTAGCAGGGAACTTGAAATACAAAGTCTTGCCCCACCCCCAGACCTACTGAATCAGAAACTGGGCATTGGTCCAGCGACCTGTAGTTTAATAAGCCCTCCCAGGAGGTTCTGATGCATGATAACGTTTGAGAACCACTAATGCATTATTCCCCCTACAATCACAACACTGATCACCAAGCTTTATTACACTTTCCCTGACAGGAAGCTTACTACCTCTGTGAGGGTCCTCTTTATTGATTTATTTTTATAGATCACTGGTCACCATTGATTCAGCTAAAAAACACATGGAAATTTGTGTGTTTTTTTCCACCCAAAGGCAAAACACTTTGAACCCGCTTAATATACCTAGATGTCTACCTTCCCATTATAATACTGTCCACATTACACAACTTTATCGATGCCTTCTCATCCCATTAATATGAAACTTGAGCCAAAAGTTAGATATCATCTTCTAACCCCCCTCTATTTCGTAAGTGAAGAAATTGAGGAGGTTTGTAGTTGGCTTACCCAAGGAGAGACACACCAGTAGTGGCAGAGTTGGGGTTTTATTCCTACTGGTGTCCGAATTGTGAAATGTTTGAACTGATACCTTTGAATATTTATAGTAGAGATTTCAAATAAATAGAATTTTTCAAAAACCTGTACCCCATATGTCTGAGTATCTTTGTTCCAAATAAATAGATTTGATCTTCCCCACAACCCCTTCGACCAAGGGGTAGCATTTTTGTTGTGCATTATTCACATCCCAAACAAACACATGCTTTTATACTGTTAGTGATTCCAGCCATCTCTGAAAGGTTGTCTTCTGTTCCCGTTTTCACCCATAATTCCTGTGCACGGTAGATAACTTCTGACTGCAAGAAATGAACGTACACTGGGGCTTTTTAATCTTAATAGAAAAAAATAGTAAGGCAGAATTTATAATCTCATTCTAGTCCCTATTCTTTGCTTTTTAAATAGTTTAATATGAAAATAATGTGACCTCTGAAAACTTAGGGAAAAAATGTTACAATACTTTCATGTTGGACCCATTTTAAACAGGAATATGCCATTTAAAACTTTACAACAGTAAATTTATTTTTTAAAGCTCTTTACTAGTGGTACTGATGCTGGCCAAACTCCTCATCTTGCAAACCTTTCTTGGAAACTCTTTCTGTTAGACAACAGCCATTTAAGCACATTTCTGTTTTAAAATAATGTGATAAGAGTGCGGGAAGCCAGAACTATCCATGTTGTGACCATCAAAATGAAACTAAATAAAACAAAATTTAAACCGCTGGTTTTCCTAGCTGAGGAGGGTTTTTTGGAGTCTGAGATCTTGGATGTCATTTCATTTGAACAGATACAGTGAGGGAGATGCGAGGTATCAAATGTCAGGACAGCCCTTCCAATTTATTACACGTGTGAATTGTACTTTTACTCCAGTGCTTTGGGTTTTCCGAGACTCATCTGGGCAACAATATGTGATTTCCAGCTTTCCTGGCCCGAGAGAAACTGACTAAATTCCTTTAGAGGGTATTCTTTTCTGTCCCTTAGTCTCAGTGTCACTTCCCTGGTCTCAGTGTAAAAGCAGAAAGGAAGGTGTTCCATGTCACCTGCAGGACAGAAGTCGTTTTCTTGCCCAGTTATTTCTACTTTTGGTTTCCATAATCCTGCCACAATGACAGTGGAGCCACTTTGAAAATGTATAAAAGGTAGTCAATGGGTCTGGTACATCAGCGAAGAAATAAGAATCTTTGCAGATGTGTGTGAAAAGACCAAAACCTGAAAAGGGCCTCAGGGATGATCTGACATGTGAAGACCAGCCATCTGTGCGTTACACATGCGGTCTATTGACAGGCCACACTGACATTTTATTCACCCCTTTAGATTCTGCGTCTTCAGTGGAAGAATGAGTCTGTCAGTGTTGTGAGGCAAATATTCCCAGCATAAACACTCTGACATTTTCTGCTCTGAAACTGGTCATCTTATCCTTCTTTCCCATGCTCTTCTGAGCCCCATTCTCTTCCTTCTCCTGTGTTTTCCGCCAGCCCTCCATCGCTGCTTTTCTTCCCATCTTACGCTCCATAGAACCAGCGCTCCCAGGACCTGTGGCACACCTCAGTTCACTGCTTTCCTCTGCTAGGTGTTGTAGTTTGGCAGTATCTGTCCTAAGACTGTGTCTATCTCCTTTAGGTAGAAATAGGAAATCATGAGACAGGGTAATCCAAAGTTTTAAAAGAGCAAGGTGTTTGATAGGACTTGCCCAAGAAAAGTCATGAATCAACCATAGTTTGCCAAAGGCATCTCACTTGAACCGGTCAAATGCACTTTCTCTTTGCATCCATCTTCACCTCATTCCTGGTTTGTTTTGTTTTATACAGATGAGCAGAGATGGAAGGAAGACTCTTTTCTTTTCATGAAACAATCTGTGTGACACTGAATGAGAGCCCATTGACATAGACACACAAACGAGCTGTACCACAGTCATAGTGAAAAGACAGAGGGAGTTTTCTAAACACTCTGCTGCACCCCTTCCCTAAATTAGAATTCCTACGCTCTGAATCGGGGGGGGGGGAGATGCTCAAATTATGACTCTAGTGTGGGGATTGCTGGAATCAGTATTTGAAGGAAAGCACTCTGAAAAAGACTTTTGAAGTGAATTGTTCATCTCAGTCAAGCTGAAAGAAAATAGTTAGGTACCACCCTGATTATTTGGGTTTGAGGGGGAAAAAATGAATAAAGAAATCTTAAGGGGTAAACCTGACATTTTTATATAGACATTTGTTAACAGTACATTACCATACTTTAAATCAGAGTACTTAATAAAACTAGTAGGTAAAACAAAGATAAAATGAATGTGTTAAGTATTATTTTTAAATAGAAACTGAATGGTTCATATACCTGAATGATCATTAGGAGAGTGGAACTACCCTCTAGGTGAAATTACTTTTTCTCCAATCTTACTGTGATTGACTTTTGTTAACAAAAATCTTAATCATAGTTAATATCAATCATAAGTTAAGTTAGCTTAACACCATAAACAGCCAACACTTATTTTTTTTGTGGGCCGGGGGCGGGGATTTGAAAGAGAACATGAATGTTGCTCTGTGTCCCAGTCTCCTTCCAGGTGTTAGGCTAACTTGGAATCTTAGAAATGCACTCACTGTATTTCTCTGCCTTATGGGAAAATCCACTGCAGGTTCACTTTATAGCCACCCAATTTCTTCTACATATTCTTAGAAGAAATTGTGTCTGATTTAGAGGCCTAGTAGCTTAACTCCAGGGTAACAGTCATCTTAGTATTGGCTGCTAGGGGTCCTCTATCCTGTTCCTCACAAACAAAACTAGTGGATAAGGGAGAATCGCTGAGCAAGGATCCAAGTGTTTCTCACTAACACTGCCTTCAAGCCTAAAGTCAGAGTCCCAGGATTGTTTCATTCTCCAGCTGAAAGAGGACTTTGAGATCATCCACCTAAACAAAAATTAGCCCCGAGGAAATACTATAGGTCAAGTAAGGAAAAGCAACCTTGAACAGGTCACAAAGCTAGCCCATCTGAGTTTTAAAACTAAAAATTGGGGAGGGCCATGACTCTCTGCTCTTTAAATCTGTTTCAGTTTTTTGTACTTTTTTCTAAAATTTCTTAAATTTTTACTTTCTCCCTATAGGAAAAGGGCAGAGTCTGACTCTAGAAAGAGCAGCATACCGAATAGTAAGGAGGTCCCTTCACACCATCCAACAGACCCAGTAGAACTGAGGCGCCTTAATTTTCAAACACCAGGTAAGAGACATGACTCATCTTGCCCATGTTACAGTCTACGCTGAAATTGTATAGCCCAGTCGATACTGCCTCGAGAGATGAATGTGTCACTTTATTTTCAACAATTTTGTGTGTCCTTCTCTTTTATTTTTATATTATTGAGATTTTTCCAAAACATACATCTTGAAAGGAAATGAAGCCCTTTGTGCAAATCTGAGGTGGAGTATAAAAGAGGAAAAACATATATTTCTTCAAATTTGGACAATTTATACTCTTTTAAGAATAGTTACATTTTATAGGCTTATTAACACAGTTATGATTTTCAATGACATGTATATGGAAAGAATTCAGGTTCTCATCTTATAAAGTGAATGAATAGGTGGTGGATTAATGTTACATCATTCAGAATACACAGGATGGGGCAAGAGTAGGTTTAGAGTTGTTCATATGGAATAATACAGTAATAAATAATGATACAAGAATCAACTCTGTGTTTCACGCACTCATAACTGCAAATCTAATTTTGCTCCAGCCTGTATTTATTCTGTATTTTTATATTAATTTGTATCTACGTTATTCTGAAAGAAAAGGGGAGGGAGGGAGAGAGAGAGGGAAGGAGGGATGGCCAGGCGGAGAAAGAGAAGGCTGGAGGGAGGGAAGGAAACAAAATCGGACTCTCACTGACCAAAGAAGGTTTCCTACTGTGGAGACACATAGAGCGGCTGAGAATAAGAATATGCTTGTTTTTGAAAATAAATAACATCAAGTGCTTCAACAGAGGAAAACTATTCTTGCTATGGGGCATTTTGTACAGTTAATTGAAATCTAGTTCTGTTTTACTGTCTTAAATAAATCTTATTTATAGCAAATGAAGGGCCAGTGATCAATGGTAAAGAGAGATGAAAATATAAAACTGAGTGGCACTATCTTAATAGCTAATGGTCATGAACACAGTAAAGAGCTGATTTAGGAAGTCTGCTTGATTGAAATGTGGTAGCATGGTACCCCCAGTTATTGGGAGGTTTTCTCTGTGTCCAATGGATGTCCTACCTCCCAGTAGGATACACCACGGGTTCATTCAGCTATGCATTTGTAGTGAATTGCTTAGAGTTGAAAATAGATGGTTTATTGTATTTAGCTTGTTTTCTCTTTAACATGTAGATATGTCATAGTCACTGTTAACTATTCAGCTCAGAGACATGTCTGGCATTTACAAAGTGGTTATACAAATTATAAATGCGCTTTGTTTAACTTATATTGCAAATGAAGTTTGACGTTTTAAAAATTCTGTTTTCAAAAGCAAAATACACTGAAACGGTCATCAGCATAAAAGGTGGGAAATAAATGTTCACGTAGCCGAAAGCCTCCTGTATGCATATCACTAAACACACTGATCAGTGTGGATTATGCGCATGTGCTGATGACTGAGCAAAGATCCCTGTGTCACCGTGGCTGATCTCTGTTGAGTGGCCCCCTTCGTGCTCCATTAAGGCAACTTGATATGAATTGAGTAATAAACCTTCTCTGTTCAGCGCTTTTTGAAATAGTAGCGCACTGACGTTTTCAGGCTACAGGCACCTTCTTAATTCATGTACTTTTCAATCTGGCTAACCCAGTGGAAAGAGGAGCTGAAAGCCACAGAAATAAGCTGGTCTATGATTTCTTGACTATGTTGCCTCATCACCGTTATGAGAGCAGCACATTATAGAAATGGGGGAAATAATTAGGTTGCTCAGTATCTCGGGCTTGGCACTGCCTTCACCTCCTCTGGCTTGTGTGTTAAGTGTTATCTGTATTGGAACCACCTTGGTCTTCCAGCAGAGACAGATGCACACTGTAGGGTTCAGTGGGAAGCGAAAGGCAGCCCCGAGAAGAAAGCCAGTGGGAGTGCTCTTCCCTCCACCTCCAGCACCAACAGAGAATGTTTCTGAGCATGAATGAGAAGCACGAATGGGAACTGTGTAGAAAGGATTACTAGCAGGGGACAGGTGATTACAAGAAAGAATAGAACGGCCTTCAACCAGGAGACCTCCATCTGCAAATACTTCTCACTTTTATGGGTAATTTTGCAAATAATGGCCAAACCCAAGCATTCTATTAAAAATCAAACTTTTCCCAATGTATATGGACATGTTAGATCCACATAGAGAGGGAACCTGTTAAAATGCATATAAGTTACTGGGAAGAGAAATGAAGGCCACAAGTGCCGTGACATTCATTATATCACCAATGGCTTTACAAACTTCCAGTGGGAACCTAAGTATATAGAAGATACCATTTAACCAAGTTTAGACTGACTACCTTAAATGGATAATAGAATGAAGTTGGGGGGATGAATAAAGGAGAGAGGAAATAGTAGAGGAAGAGGATAGAACAACAGAAATTGTCCTGAGATCCTAGCACAGCGGTTCTCAACCTGTGGGTCGCGACCCCTTGGGCGGTCGAACGACCCTTTCACAGGGGTCGCCTAAGACCATCCTGCATATCAGATATTTACATTACGATTCATAACAGTAGGAACATTACAGTTATGAAGTAGCAACAAAAATAATTTTATGGTTGGGTCACAACATGAGGAACTGTATTTAAAGGGCCAGAAGGTTGAGAACCACTGTCCTAGCACATCTGTTTGTGCAGGAAGCATTCAGTTGTGCCCTTTAGCTCAGGTAAGCAATCTACTTTAGTTGATTTGTTGAACAAGTCTATTTGCCTCCAAAGATCTATAATGTGGCCTGCTGTCCTGAAAATTGGACCATTTTACAAAGGAAATAGATGTGGCTGTTAATGTGAAATGCATGTGAATGTGACCATTTGCTTCAGCCAGTGGCTATGAATTATCTGAATTACTTGCCAATAGGATGAGAGCAGAAAGCGTGATTGTTAACCTAGGAAACTTTTTGTTTTTTTTCCTCCCCTCTTATTCATGAATAATGGTGGGCTTTCCTGGATGGCGAAAAATGACCCTTTACTAGGTGTTGCATAGCCGATGATATGACACTACTTGATTTTTGTATTTTAAACCAAAATTGTACCTTTCACTCTCTGAAAGGTGCTTTTATGTTCATCAGACCTTTGAATTTATAATTTGTTATACCTAAACATTATAAAGTTTGGCAGTGTTTATTAATGGCACGCAGGAGGAGGGAATTAATGATCCATGCATTCACTTTAAACAAATGACTTTCAATGAAATCAGAAGCCGGTGATTTTTATAACCAGCCCCAACCACAGAACATGTTCATGAAAGCAGATTGATTTCTGCTTCTGATGAGTCTGTCGTGGATGATAAAATACCAAATAATACCGTTTAAAATTCAGTGGTTCTTTCAGAAGGTAAAGGAAGACTTTGCTTCGTTCATGGATTCTATGCATTCTACTTTTCCTGTTAAGCCATCTTCTGAATGAAAATTCTGTTTACTTTTTAAGTTACTTATTCTCGTCAGAGAGTCTGAATGTAAGGAGGCAGACTTTTCCCCCTCAATTCTGCCATCTATTCAAACGGTTTTGAAACACACCTTCCAGTTTTCACATCAGTGTGGCACTATAACAATTCAGTCGCTTCAAAGCCTCTTGCCCTTCACTGCGGTGCCACACGCACACCTGTCTCTGGGTTGGAAGAAGGAAAAGGGCAGAATTCTATGCACTGTCTCTCAGCTCAGGCACCAAGTGGAGGGAGAGCACCTGTTGCTTTCAGTGTAACCGTCTTTGGGAGGTTGCGAGATGTGGAGAGAACATTGCTTTGGCACACTTTCCCAATTTGGGGTGGCAGTCAAGTCACTGTTCGTGGAGCGCTGCATTCAAGCATCTGAACAGGGGGAGCAAGTCACACACCTTCCCAGTTGAGAACAGGTACCTCTGTTTGTAGATATTTGCCGTGAATATGTTTTCTGTCCATCAGGTTCAGATGCCAGTATATCAGCCAAGTTGTATTTAGAAGGGGAACTACCTGATCTCTTAAATCATTATGGTTTGCAGTCATAAATCATCAGTTGTTGGTGAAGGGGGTCACTCAGAACCAGTGTTTAACATATAATTAAAGGAGCATTGCTTTGTCACCTGTGACCTACAAAAGCAAAGCACAGACCTAAATATACAAAGGTATCATTTAGCTAAGGTTAGACTAATCACTCCAAATGGTTAATGGAATAAACTGGGCAAAATGAGAAAGGGAGAGAGGAACTGTGGGAGAAGACCTAGAATTGACAGCTGATCACGTTTTACAAGTGGAGGAAGGAAAGAAAATATTTACTTTTAAAAGAAACCTCTCTTAAGCCGCATACATCTTTGTGGGCAGCAGTAACTGGGTGTGTGTTAGGATGGTTGATAAATAAGTTACACATTAAACAAAAGTAAACTATGGGAGGAATTACTTTATTTTTATCTTAAAAAAAAATCCCGCTCTAGCCAGCTTGGTTTAGTAGATAGAGCATTGGCCTGCGGACTGAAAGGCCTCAGGTTCAGTTCTGGTCAAGAGCACATGCCTGGGTTGCGGGCTCAATCCCCAGTGTGGGGCATGCAGGAGGCAGCTGATCAATGATTCTCTCTCATCATTGATGTTTCTATCTCTCCTTCTCCCTTCCTCTCTGAAATCAATAAAAATATATTTTTTAAAAATTCTGAGTCATTATATGATTGCTCCCTTTCATGCATATTTTTTGTTCTTAATTACAAAAGCAACACATATTTTGGAGGGGAATTTCGTGAAATAAAAAAATAAGCTTGTTAGCAATTGTACTTAGGTTGTAGCTATACAGGTGTTCATACAACTCAAATTTGTTGTATGTTTAATTTTTTTTGGTTGGAAAAGTAAAAAACACACTTTTAAAAATTGTCTTTTATTCCACTACTTTTTATTTTGTTATTTGACATATTTAAAATAAAAAGTAACAGATTTCCTATAACTACTCCAATTTTACCCTCAAGAAAGGTCTACCATATGTAGCTCCATGCATACCCTTCCAGGCTTTTTCTATGTATATACAGGTTTTTAAGTGATAAACTATATGGCAGGTGTATAGAGA